TGTTTTACTAACCATTTGCTGCAGGACTCCATTTTTCCAGTGATAAAAAATTAGCAATATCTTTTGGTTTTTTACCTAAACACTAACAAGCACTGTTTTCTGAATACGTAGGATTTTGCACTTGACACGGGATAGGCATATAAATTGACAAAAACATAAGAAAAAAAGGGGACCCAAATACTCCCTTTGGGGAAAAATCCACATTTTATCGCGGGGGTTCTGAATCTGTTTTGTTATTTTAACTTTTTGTCTCCTGTTGCTAAGGTAGGATTTAAAACCGTCCTACGGGAACCTAAAACCAATACCCTTTGAAGTTTATTAAACCAAAATTATTTTTGTGGTTGACAGTACCCAAAGGGCCCTTTTTGGCAGGTCAAAGGTTACCATGCCTATAGGGTTCCCCCCTTTGACTTTTCAGTCTAGGAAAACCTAAATTTAATAAGGGAGGGGGTGGGTTAAAATAGGATCTTCAAAGCCCGTTTGATAGCTATGGAAAAATGTTGTTGTCATTAAGGAACTTAACAACTTGAAAATACACCGCCCTCTCAAGAATTTTAGATTTAACTGATTATACTAACGGGCCATAGTTGCTTAAATCAGACCCTACTATTTTCTTGAAGATAGGAGTGACTCGGGGCCCTCCTTGAACCCCTCTGGTACTGAAATTAGTGGTGATTGATAATTTTTTAAAGGGGAGCAAATGGGGATTGACATTTCAAAGCACCATTTTTTTGGAACTTAGCCGGGATGTTACAGGGCCTTTTCCTCTTGGGGGGTTTTTAAACCTGCTAGTTCTTTTTGAAAAAAGCCCCTGAGATACACTTACAAATTGACAATTTTTTGGGGTTTAAACCCCTTTTTTTGGAATAGTATGTTTAAAAATTATCAGAGTCTGTGTTAAAGGTTTTTGATGAAGGGGTATTTTACTTACTAGTGTTGATGCAACAAAAGGGGTAGTGGAATTAAAGCAATTTCCCAACCTTAGATTTTTCTTTGGGATACCCATTACGATAGTAAATTTATTTGGTTAGCCTACTACGGGTTATGGCTATCCCCCAAAAAGTTTTAGTTGTTGCCAGGGTTTTTCGGGGGTTAGTTTAAAAATCTTCAATTTTTGAGCAGTAGTGCTTTGCCTTTGCCCCTTTTTATAAGTCTCGGTACTCTGTTCCTCCCCTTTTGGAATTCATTTAGTGTTTCCCAATTTTCCGCCCGGGTTTGCAAAAAATTTCTTTTTAGCCGCGGGGTCTCTGAATTTCATATTATCAATATCTCAGAAATTCACCCGGGGTTCAGTTTTTTCTTTTAACCCAAAACCTTTTTTTAAAACTGGTGAATATTATCAAGGATGGTATTTGGAAAACATTTTTTTAAATTTTTTCCCCAAGGCCCATTTTTTTTACGTCCGTGAAAACCTGTTATCTCTGTCCAGTCACTTTTGGTGTAGCCTTTTACCAGTGTTTCTTTACTGTATTTTCCCAATTTTGACCTCTTTTTTTATTGTCCTGTGTGGCCTACCCCTACCCCCCTTTTTTATTTTCCTGGGGGGCAGTAAAATGATGAAAGGGATCACTAAACCTGTGGTAATGACCCCTTGACTAAATAATTTTCTCGGGGCGGTTACAAAAGTATGTGGTCAATTAGGGTGGCTGAAACTGTGTGAAACCGGGGGTTGGGGGTATTAATAAGTTGAGTGTAACTATTTAATCCCAGGGAAATTTTCTTATACCTTTTGATAGCCCGTTATTTTGCTGCTGAAAAACAGATATTGAAATCGCCCCGTATTTTTCTCGCAATTGTTTTTAACTCCGGACAAGACTCTGGGAAAAGTCTTTTTAAGAAACTGGGCCGGTTGGAGGGGGGAAAAAAGTTCCCCACTAAAATGGGTTTTGGGTTTGGGGAAACAGCACTTCAAAAACCTAGAATCTTTCCCGTTTATTGGTTTTTTAAATCAGGTCCCTTTTTGTAAGCTAAGTCATTTCTAAAAGTAGCCCCATATCCACCAAACCCCTTTTTGTTCCCACCCAAACGTTTTTTTTTGTTAAAACCCTCATTTTGACCTCGTCGTCAATCCCCCGTAATCATCCCCAACCCAAAAATTCCCGAGATGGGGTTTTAACTGCCCCCCTAAATTTTTTTTGCTAGAATCCTAATCTTTTGCCAATTTTGGGAAAAAGTGATCTTCATTGGGCATGAAAAAAAGTAAAGGGTGTTTTCATTTAAAAAAAATCATTAAAAAATCAATTATGGGAAAAGGGCAATTTTTATTAAAAAATTTGGGAAACAATGTTTATCACTGCAAAGGGGAAAATGGGGCCAAAGTGCATTTTTTACACACAAAATGAAATTTTGGGACCGTTGCTAAATTGTACATACATTTCCCTCATGCACCCCCCCCTTAAAAACATTTTAAATAAGGTGCCTTTTCTTTTTTCATGCGAAATTTTGTACAGTGTTTTGCAAACCCGTTTTGGGTTGGGGTTTTTTAGATAATAATGGTGTATTGTCTCCAACTGACCCTTTTGTATGATTTTCATTTAAATTTTAAAGGGTTTTCATTTCCCCAGCTACTAGAATCCCTTATTGCCGTCCCTTTATCTGTCTGTTTTTCCTCTGCACAATTTTTTGAGGTCCTGGATTAATTTGGTATCACCAAATTAAGAGCGCTACAATAAAAAGTGGTGCCACTGTTTTTGTTAAAGGAAAGCGGTTTGCCATACCTTGCGGCGATAGTGAGGTTTACTTTTTGGTTTGGATGGAAAATGTTGGGCTTTTCTGTCAAGGACCATAACATTGTATCAATCGATCGCTAGAAAAAAAGGGCAGGATGGAATTTAAAGAGAACCTTCAAAACGGGGGGGCCAAACCCCTGGAACTCTTTAGGTCACTTTTCCCATCTAGGGGGGAATATTGCGCCCACTAACAGCACCTTCAAGGCAGGTGAAATTTTTTGGGCCCAGAAAAATTTCAGAGAACTTTTACGGCACCCCCATAACGGAGATAAAACACCTCAATTACTGGGGGCGCTTTAGGTTCCTAAACCCTTTTATTCCCCCGGAACGCAGGAGGGGGTTTTTAATTTTATAACACCGGAAAAACCAAAAGGGGCTAGTCCAAAATTGCACACGAAAATCCCCTCACTACGAAAGCAAAAGACTTGGCAGGGCCCATGCACCATCCCCCCAATGAAAAAAAAGGGGTGGGCAATAGTACGTTAAGGGACCATAAATAAGTGTCCGGGGCCCGAACTGTTCAACTGCCCCCCCCGCACACAAAAGGGGGGGTTACCCAAAAGAACCCCCGGCAGTCTTTTAAGCTGGGATGGACAAGCACCTAAAAATCAGTTCCGATCACCCGGGGTGTGGGTCGTTTCGTTGGGTTTTCGTGCAGCCAGCACAACAGGGCCCGGGTTTATCAGCTCTGATCCACCGGAGGCCTGGTCACAGACCGGGCCCCAGGGGCGTTTTACCCCCGGGGAAATTCTCCCGGGACAATGCAGGGAAAAACGTTAATTAATATTGGCCTTTTCCCCCCTTCCCAAGGGTTTTGTTTTTATTAAAAAAAATGGATACACCCGCACTGCTGCTGGATATTAATTTACTCTTTCTACAGCCCAGCTTAAAATAAAAAAAGTAATTTTTTAAAGAAAAAAGGTTTTAACCCGTCCCCTATTACCGCTGGGGGGGTAGTGAAAGTGTAAAATTGGGGGGTTGTTATAAAAATTTTTAAAGGGGTTTTTTTTAATTAAAAATTAATTTCTTTAAAATTTTCCAACCCTTAAAAAAAATGTCTATGACAAAACCAACCAATTTTAAGACAAAATTTTTGATTTAAAACATTTCCATCAAACTCACACCAGGCCGGTTTCCCATATTCAATTTTCCCATTACTTTTTTTTAAATTTACAAAAAAAAATATCTGCATTGGGGAAAAGGACCTGGTCAAACACTATTTTTTTAACTAGAGAATTCTTTCCTTCCCCAAAAAAATGATTAAAACCATTTAAAATTTTTAAAAAACTAAAACAACTTTTTAACTTTAATATAGATTCCCATGGTAGAAAAGTGGGAAATCAAAATTCAAAAAATGAAATTTCAAAAAGAGGGGAAATTTTTAAAAATTATTTAAAACTGGGCCCAGGGATCCCGTAGCAGGGCGGGTGAAAGGCTTTCCCGGGAAGGGCTTTTCTACTTTTAAGTGGGGGAGCTAAAATGAAATTCCACCCCAGGTGGGAAATTTAAATTTTTAATTTAAATTTCATATTTTAAATCATTTCTACTCTTTTGGGGAAATTGGTGAAAACCCTTTTTAACTACGTTTTGGACTTAATTTTCACACAGGGCCCTTTTAGGTGGCCGGGTTTACATCACTTGGGGGCAGCATTTAAACTAAAATATTCCAGTTAAAATTTTGGGATTTCTGTTTCAATTTTTAAGGTATACCTATGTATATTTTTTTAAATGAAAATACAGAATTAAGAAAAGCACTTGTGAGACATTAAATTTGCCCCAGATTTTGTAACCCGGGAAAAATTTTGGGTTAAAATTTTCTTAAAAATGTTTCGTATTAAAAACCATTCAGTTCTGAAAAAAAAATTTCTTGTGGTATTTTTGTGTGTGGATAACAAAATGATAAAAGGGACCCTTTCTAATGTGTTGTTTCGAGATAATGGGTGGACCTGATGGGGAAAAAAAACCCCAAAAGGGCCCCAGCAAAGCGAATGACCTTACGGGTTTAATTTTTGGTTAAGATTATAATAAAGATCAAGGGCCCCAGTGGAAAATTTGTCACTTTTTCTTATTTTTTTTTGCTGGGTTTTTGGGTTCCCCAAAACCCCAATTTTTAGATAATTCATAGCCCAAAACCTTGTTGGGATGATTCAAATTTACCCCGTTGATAAAATACTGCATTTTCAAAGTCCATTAAGTCAAGGATTTAATGTATTTAAAATACTTTCACCTATTCATATTTACTTGGTTATAACCAGTAAAATTGCTATTCAGTTAAATGTTTCAAATTTTCAGCTTCGGCCTGTGGTGGCTGCAACCCAGACTCAGGGATTGCATGGTGCTGCTCCTCATGCCTCGGCTGTTGTGAGTATTAAATTTAAGTTCTGTTTTAATATTAAGTAGTGCTAGACATTTGGCACTCTTCGTGACTACTTCCATTTGCTGTACTGCATTTAATGATCATGGGCTATAGTTCTCTTATGCTTCTTGAGAGCTGGAGTTATATTTTATATGTATATCTTCCAGGCATCTGGCATTTCCTCAGTCTTGCTACTTGTAGGTCCAATTGAATCCCTTGCACTGGAGTTTTATTCCTTCTCTGTCTCCATGGTGGTATACTTTTCTCGTCTCTACTGTTTAAAATCTGTATTTCTTCAGGTGTTGCATTACATACGTACTTCCTTATTGGTCTATTTTACGTGATAGCTCTGTGTAATTTCGCTTTCTACTTTACTACTCTGGTATTAACTCTCATGCTGTGAAAGTTCTATAGAATTGTCTTACTCACATACACCTCTGTCATTGTCTATCAGCAATTTGCTATCTTTATACTTGGTCTTATCACATGGTTTATGTGAATTTTTCTTCAGGATCATTTTATGTGTCACCCATAAGGACAACTGCTTTTCCTTTCCATCTTGCATTCATATAGATGTGCAATTATGAAATAAAGCAGCCTTTAAGCCCAGATGAGTGTTAATTGAAGACTAAGACAGCATGCAATGTATATCAGTTTTTTTTTTAAGAAAAGAGTATTTATTCAACCTGTTCTCAAATGATTGTGTGCCATTTTTCACCTTACCCATGTCTATCAGAACTAGCTCAAGACTGATATATTTTATAATTTTATAGCCACAAATTCTCTCTCATTAAATTTAAAATATTGAGTAGGACTTGGAGTTATTGATATACAGCACTATATATATATTTTTAACACACCAGCCGTATCCCACCAAGGCAGGGTGACCTAAAAAGAAAAACTAATAAAAAAGTTTAAAAATAATTTATATGAGAAGGATCAGTACTGTATATACAGTAGGTAGCTAATATGTCTTTTAGCATTGTTGTCTATGTGATTTTTCAACTTGGCTTTGTCTTCTTTCTCTGTCAACAGCCATCACCAGTCAGTAAGCCAGAAGGGCGCACCACAGCTACACTTATTCCTGGAGATGGTGTGGGACCTGAACTTTGCCAAGTAGTCTTAGATGTCTTCAGAAATGCTGGTGTACCTGTTGACTTCGAAGAACATTATCTGACAGAATTATATGGGGGACGGTCAGCCTCTCTTGATGAAGTTGTGAAAAGCATTACTCGCAATAAAACATGTTTGAAAGGTATTTTGGCTACTCCTGACCAGAGCTTTGATGGAGAACTCAAGACTCTTAATATGAAGCTAAGGTGAGAAGTGAAAACTACAGTACGTATATATATAAAATAGTAGTACAGTGGACCCCCGGTTAACGATTTTAATCCGTGCAAGAGGGCTCATCGTTATGCGAAATAATCGTTATGCGAATGAATTTTCCCCATAAGAAATAATGGAAATAAAATTAATCCGTGCAAGACGCCCAAAAGTATGAAAAAAATTTTTTTTTACCACATGAAATGTTAATTTTAATACACACAAACTGAAAAAGGCATGCACAATTACATGACACTTACTTTTATTGAAGATCTGGTGATGATTGATGGGATGGGAGGAGGGGAGAGCATTATCTTCTTACTGTTTAGAAGGGGAATCCCTTCCATTAGGACTTGAGGTAGCAAGTCCTTTTCCGGGGTTACTTCCCTTCTTCTTTTAATGCCACTAGGACCAGCTTGAGAGTCACTGGACCTCTGTCGCACAACAAATCTGTCCATAGAGCTCTGTACCTCCCGTTCCTTTACGATTTGTCTAAAATGGGCCACAACATTGTCATTGAAATAGTCACCAGCACGGCTTGCAACAGCTGTGTCAGGGTGATTTTCATCTATAAAGGTTTGCAGTTCAACCCACTGTGCACACATTTCCTTAATCTTTGAAGTAGGCACAATGGATTCCACACTGGCATAGGCTTCTCAGGGTTAGCCCCAAACCCTTCAAAATCTTTCTTAATTTCCATACTAATTCTCACCCTTTTTACCATAGGGTTGGCACTAGAAGCTTTCTTGGGGCCCATGGTCACTTATTTTCCAGAAACAGCACCGAAAACACTGTAATAATACGAAATATTCCGAGTGTATGCTTGGATGTTACCGCGGAGGCTGGCTGGTAAACAATGGGACGGCCGGCACATGTGAGGCTGGCTGAGGGCACATTGGACGCGTCTCGGACGAAAATCGGTAAGCGGGTTTTTAATCGGTATGCGCGGCAAAAATTTTGCGATAAAAGTAATCGGTATGCGGAAAAATCGCTATGTGATGCCATCGTTATGCGGGGGTCCACTGTAGTTGCTTTGTTTGCCATGATAGAGTAAGCAATAGACAAATAATCATAGAATGGGGATTAAGACACTAATGCTGGTGCTATTGATATGTAAAATAGATAATAATTATGGGTATTTAAATGGAATTTTTATGCTGATAGATTGATTGTGATTTTTCATTTGCAGAGATGATCTTGACCTGTATGCAAATGTAGTGCATGTTAAATCTTTGAGTGGTCTCATGTCTCGACATAAAAATGTAGACATGGTTGTCATCCGTGAACAGACTGAGGGTGAATACTCTGCACTTGAACATGAATCTGTGAAAGGTGTTGTCGAGTGCCTGAAGATTATGACCCGTGAGAAATGTCGACGCATTGCTAAGTTTGCATTCGACTATGCCACCAAGCATGGACGGAAGAAGGTGACTGCTGTTCATAAGGCAAATATCATGAAGCTCGGGGATGGACTGTTTCTTAGACAGTGTGAAGAGGTATTTTGCTAAACTCTTGTTGTCTTTGTATTTAAATTGGATTTACCTTAAAAATAATAATAACTGATAAGTTGTAACTATGACGTCTTATTTTGATTTCATTTGGTAATTTATTAACTGAACTTTTCCATACTGCATGCTCTTAGCATCCTGGAACTCATAACCATATTCATGTAAACACATAAATTGTGTATATATCATCTTCCAGTTCTGAGTCATTTATGTATAGAGAAGAGCATTTCTTACATATTTTACTAATCATGGCAGGTTTTAAAACAACTAAACTGTGCTAGATATTTATTTCTTATGACTAGTTTTCAAACTTAGTGAACATTAGTCTTGAATTTATTTTTAATTTCAGCCCTTCTAATTCCTCCATTCACCTCATATGGTATACAGCATTCTTGCCCTTTACCCTCCAGAGTTAGTACAAACAGTCATACAAAATTGTAAACATACACATGCCTGGTACAGTTTTTCCATAATTTTTAGGCATTAGTGTTGGGCCATCTAGGTCTCTGAATGATTGTGGGCATATCATCAAATCTCTGAGTTTTGGCATGTGACAGAAGCCACTTTCATTCTGCTGTAAACAGTGAAACAGTTTATTTGAAGAAATACATTTGATGATTGTGAAATTGAGAAAATTTACAGTAAAAGTAGTTTTGCAAATCCAGCATTGAAGAAATCTGAATAGCAGAGATGTATGTTGGGAGTGAAAAACCTGATGGCTGAGGCATATGCAGGCACCTTGACTAAAAGAGCTTATTAGCTGGGGTGTTTGCATCGAGTGTGCTAAGTAATGCCTGTACATACTTCATTTTTTCTTTTCATTTTTTATATTGTATAATCATAAATTTTTCTAAAATTGTACTTAATATTGAAATATTTTTTCAGATTGCTGCAATGTACCCCAATATTGAATTCAGTAACATGATTATTGACAATTGCACTATGCAAATGGTAGCAAATCCACACCAGTTTGATGTCCTGGTACTTCCCAATCTTTATGGCAACATTGTTGACAACCTAGCTGCAGGCCTGGTGGGAGGAGCAGGTGTTGTGGCTGGAGCTTCTTATTCCAACAGATGTGTTGTATTTGAACCAGTAAGTCACTTTCAGGGCAGTTATTGTGTCTTACTAATGAGAGAAACCAGGGCCAGAAGGAGTGATAAAACTTTTATATAAAGCATATGCTACCCCTGTGGGCAGCCACCTTTTGAGAATAGGAGATCGCATGCACTATAAATACCATGGCCTTTGCAGGCTGGGGTTTTCCATGTAAACTAGATTATGGGAGTTACACTAAATTCACTCTACTTTTATACAGTACATGTACAGTGGTACCTCAAATTTCAGCCTGAATTCGTTTCAGAAGGCTGTTCGAGTGCCATTACCAAACGAATATGTTCCCATAAGGAATAATGTAAATTAGTCAGTTTCAGACCCCCAAAAAAATACACTTACAAAAATGCACTTACATAATTGTTTGAGTTGGGAACTGTTCAAAATTTGAGGTATAAGGTGATGAGGGTATCAAATGATTTAGATAAAGAAAAATTGGATATCAAATTGGGGAGGAGGAGTATGGAAGAAGTGAATGTTTTCAGATACTTGGAAGTTGACGTGTCAGCAGATGGATTTATGAAGGATGAGGTTAATCATAGAATTGATGAAGGAAAAAAGGTGAGTGGTGCGTTGAGGTATATGTAGAGTCAAAAAACATTATCTGTGGAGGCAAAGAAGGGAATGTATGAAAGTATAGTAGTACCAACACTTATATGGGTGTGAAGCTTGGGTTGTGAATGCAGCAGCGAGGAGGCGGTTGGAGGCAGTGGAGATGTCCTGTCTAAGGGCAGTGTGTGGTGTAAATATTATGCAGAAAATTCAGAGTGTGGAAATTAGGAGAAGGTGTGGAATTAATAAAAGTATTAGTCAGAGGGCTGAAGAGGGGTTGTTGAGGTGGTTTGGTCATTCAGAGAGAATGGATCAAAGTAGAATGGCATGGAGAGCATTTAAATCTGAAGGAAAAGGAAGGCGGGGTAGGGGTCGTCCTCGAAAAGGTTGGAAGGAAGGGGTAAGGGAGGTTTTGTGGGCGAGGGGCTTGGACTTCCAGCAGGCGTGCATGAGCGTGTTCAATAGGAGTGAATGGAGACGAATGGTATTTGGGACCTCACGATCTGTTGGAGTGTGAGCAGGGTAATATTTAGTGAAGGGATTCAGGGAAACCGGTTATTTTTATATAGCCGGACTTGAGTCCTGGAAATGGGAAGTGCAATGCCTGCGCTCTAAAGGAGGGGTTTTGGGATATTAGCAGTTTGGAGGGATATGTTGTGTATCTTTATATGTATATGCTTCTAAACTGTTGTGTTCTGAGCACCTCTGCATAAACAGTGATTATGTGTGAGTGAGGTTAAAATGTTGATGATGAAAGTACAGTGGACCCTCGAATTTAGTCGTGCCTTTTCTGTATGCAAAACTATTTTTTTTTTTTTTTTTTTTCAACAAGTCGGCCGTCTCCCACCGAGGCAGGGTGACCCAAAAAAGAAAGAAAACAATTTTCTTCTTATTCTTTTTAGTAATCTTTACAGGAAAAGGGGTTACTAGCCCATTGTTCCCGGCATTTTAGTTGACTTTTACAACACGCATGGCTTACGGAGGAAAGATTCTTATTCCACTTCCCCATGGATATAAAAGGAAAAGTAATAAGACCAAGAACTATTAAGATAAAATCAAAGAAAACTCAGATGAGTGTGTATAAATAAATGTGTACATGTATGTGTAGTGTGACCTAAGTGTAAGTAGAAGTAGCAAGACATGCCTGTAATCTTGCATATTTATGAGACAGACAAAAGACATCAGCAATCCTACCATCATGTAAAACAATCACAGGCTTTTGTTTTACACTCACTTGGCAGGACGGTAGTACCTCCCTGGATGGTTGCTGTCTACCAGCCTACTACCTACTACTATTTTTATTATCTATAAAATGTATTTTTTGTTAATATTTCCCATAGGAAATAATGTAAATCCAATTAAACCATTCCAGACACCCAAAAATATTAACAAAAAATACATTTTATAGATAAAAATAGTTTTGCATACAGAAAAGGCAGGACTAAATTCGAGGGTCCACTGTATTTTCTTTTTGGGTCACCCTGCCTCAGTGGGATACGGCTGACTTGTTGGAAAAAAAAATTTTTTTTTTTTAACAAGTCGGCTGTCTCCCACCAAGGCAGGGTGACCCAAAAAGAAAATACTTTCATCATCATTCAACACTTTCACCTCACACATAATCACTGTTTTTGCAGAGGTGCTCAGAATACAACGGCTTAGAAGCATATACATATATACACAACATATCCCTCCAAACTGCCAATATCCCAAACCCCAGTACCACTTTCATTTCCTCAACTGCTGAAATCTATGTTCACTTCAATTTCAGAGTATCGACTTCAATAGGGAATTAAAGATATGGAATTTATATTCTTGAAGTATTGTGTAGTAGGCAAGGTACAAAAATGAATAGCTTGATAGGCTTTAATGTCAAAATGATCAAAGCAGAAATGTTTATTGGCAATTTTATTTATTTAATTCAAACTTTAATTGTTCAATAACTTATTAAAAAACTAGAAGATAGCTTATTGGATTTGTAGTGATTCAAATCCTAAGCATGCTTTCAAGATTGCTAGAGAAAATATTTAATGTGAATTGGCTATTTCAGGGTGCACGTCACACCTTTAGTGAAGCCGTTGGTAAGAATGTTGCCAATCCAACTGCAATGCTTTTAGCCTCTGCTAATATGCTAAATCATCTTAATCTCCAGTATTATGGGGATATGATAAAGAATGCAGTTGAGCGTGTTATTCGTATTGGCAAGGTAAGTTTTTTTTTAGTGATTGTAACTAAAGAATTTCATCTAGCATTAATATTTTCTTCAACTTTACCAGCCATCTCCCACCTAGGTAAGGTGATCCATAAAAGGACTTTCACCACTATTCATTCAGTCACTATCTTTCCAGAAACATGCTGGCTATATAGCTCAGATGACCCTCCGAACTGTAGCATCCCACCCCCTCAGAGTGCAAACATCTTACTTTCTACTTTAGTACTCAAGTCTGGTTATCCATTTTCCCTAAATCCTTTCATAAGTGTTTCCTTGCTTGCTCACACTCCAACAGCACGAAGCAAATTCTTATGCACATTTGAATATGCTTTTATGGCTTAAAGTACATTTGGAGTGTGAGCAAGGTAACAATTATGAAGAGATTCAAGGAAAGCAGTAAGCCAGAATGAGTCCTGGAGGTGAGAAGTACAGTGTTTGCACTCTGATGAAGGAGTGGGAAATTTGCAGTTTGCATAGGCTGCATATTTTTGACAAAACAGCTATTGAATGATTGATGGTGAATGTATTTCCTATTTTGGGTCACCCTACCTTGGTAGATGACAGACCATTAAGGTAAAATAAAAAAAACTAGTGTAAATTTCTTAATTTTATGCAGCTAGTGAAAGTAAGAATAGAGATGGATCAAAAAGAGAATGAAACAAAAAAGTATCTAGAAGGTACAGTATTGCATGAGACACCCTGTATTACAGGTGAAGTACAGTATGTCTTGTTAAATAATTATAAATAGGCAAGTCATTTGTTTCTTATATATCCAGGTGATTCAAAAGTTTTGTCATTTTCAAGTTCTAGTTTTGGTCAGGTGTTACATTACTTGGTTATTACTAAATTGATATTAATGCTACTAACTTGACTGATTTTACATCAAACTTTATTTTTTTTATCTAATTTACCTCAAACTGGTAATGCATATTTTCTATAGTATTTTCTTTCTTAGGTTTTCTTGTCATCTCTCTGTTTCCCCCTCTCTCTCTCTCTCTCTCTCACTTTGATCCTTGCATACCTATAGGTCAGGACACAGGACTTGGGGGGCTTTGCCACAACTTCAGCCTTCTCAAATGCTGTCATCGCCAGTCTCAAGCATTGAAGATTTACCCCTCCAGTTTCACAGTTATTTATTTTTCTTAAAGCCTTTGCAGCACTGTATGTGTATTAGAATATTGTATTTTCTGTCTTTTAATTTGATAATTAAAGGAATATTTCCAATAATATTCAGGAAGTCTTGTGTAGTGAGTGGCATGCTTTCCTAATTTTTCCTTTTTATATTCTAGTCTTGTCTTAAATGCACACTAGCTTAAGATTCCCATAGCCTCCTAGTCTTGGTTGAGAGATGGTTAACCCTTACTTCAGTTTTTTTTTATGCTTTCTTTAAGTTAGCCCTTCCTTGTTGTTTACATAAGTAAATAAAGTTTGTTATTTTGTTCTTTAGAATACTGTTTTATTACCTCATAGTTTGTACTTGTATTGTATATAGATCATTTAAAGATTACAAAATCAAATATAAGTTTAGCGAAATATTAGCTATACTTTTTCCCTTGGAATGAGAACATTTTGACAGTATTGGAGGGTTGCAAATATAACATCAGTCATTGAAAGATAAAATAATTAATGATAATTTATAATAAAATAATATTTTAATTTACAAAAAGCAATATAGAAGGGGCCCCATTTTTTCAGTGGTTATGTTCCTGACCCCTGCCAATAAGTGAAAATTGCTGGCAAGTGGAAAATAGTGGATTTTGACTATCGAATGCATAAAAAACGTTGGATGACATGTTTACACTTTCATATATTAAGTGCTTAATACAGCTAGGCCTAAAAAAATATGAAAGTAAAATGAATGTACAGTATGTACCTTAAGGTAAAGTATGTACCTTAAAATATGGCACCGGATGCCCTTCCCTGATGCAGCTGTTGTGCAGAAAAGTGGAAAAAGCACTGAACATGATGAACAATGGCTCAGTCACCAAAAGGGACGCAGAAATGTGGGGTCTTCCTGTACAAGGGATACTTTACAACTTGGGGGGAAACTGTAGTATGCACAGCATTTTGGGCAGATTATCAACCAGTTACTGTCAATAACTTGTAAACTCATGGAAACTATAATCAGAGGTCACATTTCTGGAAAGACAGCAGTTAGGTGAGTGTATTGCTACTATCAGTAGTTAGGTGAATGTGATACGTATATGGAAATGTATCAGAATGGCTTAGCGCAACAAGTGGCATGGTACAAGGGTCAGTCTTGAGACAGTTCTGTTCTTAAACAATATGTACATGACACAGATAATGGGTTGTACTATACAGTATAAAATTTACTGATGACAATTGGGGAGCTAAATTGCATCAAGTCATTTTCCAAGCTGAGTTATTGTATAAAGAACTGTAAATATTATTTAATATTACAGGTCCCCCATCACAAATCCAGCATCATGGGACCTGTAGTGTGCCGGATTACTGAGTTTGCCAGATTACAGAGTGATTAGGTTAGAATACACTTAATAAAATTAACCAACTTGACTTGCATAAAGTTCATTGAACATCGGCAAAAATCGAACATTTCCGCTACTTTGACCTCAATTTCAAGGTACTTTTCGTTGTGAAACCAATCAAAATCGTATCTATTTCTGTAATATATCTTCCATTCTATCCAGTGAGACCATAAAAACAATACAAAAATATACAGCAAAGAGGCAGCTAATGGCTGAGAAGTGAACTCCCTTATTTATCATCCTTTTTTAATTTTTTTTTTTTTCATTTTTGGTGTATGTTAAGAAGCATCTTTCCATCATACATAGCCCAAGTTTCAATAAGATAGCCCAACAAACAACTGAGAAAAAAATATTTACCAAAAATCATATATGGGAAGCCCAAGCCAGGTTTTTTTTTTTTTTTTTTTTTTTTTTCCAACAAGTCGGCCGTCTCCCACCGAGGCAGGGTGACCCAAAAAGAAAGAAGATCCCCAAAAAGAAAATACTTTCATCATCATTCAACACTTTCACCTCACTCACACATAATCACTGTTTTTGCAGAGGTGCTCAGAACACAACAGTTTAGAAGCATATACATATAAAGATACACAACATATCCCTCCAAACTGCTAATATCCCAAAACCCCTCCTTTAGAGCGCAGGCATTGTACTTTCCATTTCCAGGACTCAAGTCCGGCTATATAAAAATAACCGGTTTCCCAGAATCCCTTCACTAAATATTACCCTGCTCACACTCCAACAGATCATCAGGTCCCAAATACCATTCGTCTCCATTCACTCCTATTGAACACGCCAATGCACGCCCTGGAAGTCCAAGCCCCTCCCCCACAAAACCTCCCTTAAAACCCCCTTTCCCTTTCCCAAACCCTTTTTGAGGACGACCCCCACCCCGCCTTCCTTTTTCCTTCAGATTTAAATGCTCTCCATGTCATTCTACTTTGATCCATTCTCTCTAAATGACCAAACCACCTCAACAACCCCTCTGCAGCCCTCGACTAATACTTTTATTAACTCCACACCTCTCCTAATTTCCACACTCTGAATTTTCTGCATAATATTTACACCACACATTGCCCTTAGACAGGACATCTCCACTGCCCCAACCGCCTCCTCGCTGCAGCATTTACAACCCAAACTTCACACCCATATAAGAGTGTTGGTACTACTATACTTTCATACATTCCCTTCTTTGCCCCCACAGATAACGTTTTTTTTACTCTACAAAATTTCCTCAATGCACCACTCGCCTTTTTCCTTCATCAATTCTATGATTAACCTCATCCTTCATAAATCCATCTGCCGACACTTCAACCCCCAAGTATCTGAAAACTTTCACTTCTTCCATACTCCCCCCCCCAATTTGATACCAATTTTTTTTTACTAAATCATTGATATCCCACCCCTTTACTCTTTTCTATTTTAACTTTCAACTTTCTACCTTTACCCCTCCCCAAAACTCATCCCAAACCAAACCCCAAGCCGGGTACGGAAATAAATCACGTCGATTTTTTTGGGGGTTACCATTCTTTTACATTGCTGCATTATGAAAATCATGTAACGTTTTTTTGGGTAACGAATAAATTATTATTTACTTCTATTCGGGCAACTGAGTACAAGAAACCCCCCCATTCACCTATTAAAACTACCCTAAAGTGGTCAGAAATTGCAATTTGGCCAATTCACACAAATTTCAACAGATGCCAATTTCAAAATAGAGCCAAAAAAACAAGCAGACATTTCTGGCACTAAAAAAACCCATTTCTCTATTTATAGTCATGGCTCCAGCCCTTCTTATTTACTTTTTCTTACCTTTGGGAATTTTTTAATCACACAAAAAAAGAAATTCTGTTTGCAGACTATCGCATTATTTTAAAATTTTATAAATAATGTCAAACCCCTCCCGACTGTTTTTAATTTGGACGGCAGCGCACATGATTATGACTCATTGTTTACTCTTTAATTGCTAAAAAATAAACATTTTTGCTACGTGACGCAATTTCAAGGGATTTTTTTCATGAAACCAATCAAAATCTATTTTTTCTTTAATATAAAACTTCCATTCTATCAAATGAACCAAAAAAACAAGAATCATCCAAAAAACCAAAGAAAATATACGCTTGGGGTTAAAGCGAGAAGTGAACTCTGTTATTTATGGGGTTTTTTTTCATTTTTGATGTACATTAAAATAGTAGGGTTTTTTAGACAGCAGCCCCCGGGGGGGTACTACCGTCCTGCCAAGTAGTGAAAAAGAAAGCCTGTAATTGTTTTACATGATGGTAGGATTGCTGGTGTCTTTTGTCTGCCTCAAAATATGCAAAGATTATAGGTACGTCTTGCTACTTCTTACTTTAAGGTAAAATACACATCCCTGTACAAGCTTATAAACACACCACCCCCCTGGATTTTTTCTTTTTTCCTTTCATTCTTGCCCTGTTTATTTCCCCCCTTATCCCCCGGGGGAAAAGGGGAAAAGAATTCTTACTCCGT